TAAATCTCAAAAATATTTTTTCAAAGGAGCTCGCATTACCAAACCACCTCATTCACCGCCTCTAGCAAAAATCCCATTCATTGACGAGATGTCGGTTTTTATGCACAAATACATTGAACGGATCGTCAACTCAGAGGGTGACGGTAACTGCGGATTTTGAGCAGTTTCTGCTTTGCTCAAAAAAGAAGAATAAGATCACACTTATCCTCCATCAACTTATCCAAGAGTTAAGGTGGCATAAAGAATCATACACACGATTATACAAGAAAAAAAGAAAATTTTCAAGCAATTTATCACTCTCTTATTTCTTGCATTAGTGGACCTGCATCGAAGGATAAATGGATGTGCTTCCATGAAATGAGTAATCTCATAAAAAGTGCGTATGATAGAGTGTGTATTGATCTTACAGGATACTGTTTCTCATAAACATTTTTTCCACTGCACACTACTCAGCCTCAAAATCCAAATGATCGTACTATGTGTAATGGGAGGATTTCAATTTCACGACATTTTGTTCGAGTTTATTTGAAACCTGCATGTTATATTCCACTTACATCACCAGAGTGGACAACTCATTCAACAACCAAAGTCGATACTTAACTGGACCATTTTGTTGAAAGGATGCAAGAGTTCATCAAATTGAGCAAGATTGAAATAGAATCAAATAAACAAAAATCAAAAGGGGTATCGCCCATCAGTTATAGATTTATCCGGTGATAAGTCTTTTGGTTCATTTTCGGTTTTATTTATCAACGTATTGTATGTAATATTGTATTAATGCTAATGATGTCTAAAATATACATTTTGAAGTTTGTCAAAAAAAGTATGCATTTATTACATGTTATGTTTCTGCGTTGAACAAAATTCCGTTCAATTCTGAGAGGTTCCAGAAATACATATTCGGATTAAGATAACATGGTGATATCAAAGATGTATTTCCGGAACATCCCTTTGTACAAGATCGAATTTATGAGGTCCATAATTTTCTATAACTACTATAAATATTAGGCAATTGTCTCATTGTTTCATTCCAAAACACATTACACCAGAATGAATATCATTTAGCATGTCACAAATACTTTAACGCTGTGAAACCCTCAATTGAATTTAAGATCAATGAGTACACTCTTCTTGAAGTTTTGAAATACATACTGCAAAATCTTCTACCATACAACCATAATAAAAAAATTGTGAAGAACAGAGTATCGTTCACCGTCCGTTGACAACGAAGAGAAGATTGAGTACATCAACTTTGAGCTGAAGGCAGGTGCAGATTTAAGGGTTATGTAGAACACTTTTTTCACGTAGAAACAAAATTTTCGATTGAGTTGTATGCGACGATTTTGAAATCGGTCAAAGATATTATGAAGATATTGCAACATCCACGAAATATTGAAAAGTAATGTTTGATCTATGCTAACATCACCTATGTAATATTTTTTATGTTATCATTGAAATTTTTATTTTGTCAACCTACATGTTTCTAGTTTTTCTGCTATTTTGCTACTGCTTCAGACTAATATAGAAATGCAACTCCGTATTATTTACGGAGATGCATTTATGAATGCAAAATAACCACAAATCTGAGGCGTTTTTCAGATTCAATTTTAATTGTATATTTTTTATTTTTTAGTGCATTTAAAGATACATCTTCAAAATTCAAAAACATTATTATATTTTCATGTGGTGGACTAATAATACATATAGAATACATATAGTGAATTAAGAAATTCCTTCAATAATTTAATACTACTTAAAAGTCTCAATTATAATGCTTTTATATTAAACAAAATCAAAAACTATATAATTTAATACTACTTAAAAGTCTCAATTATAATGTTTATCAAACAAAATTAAAATCTGTATAATCTAATATTACTTAAAAGTCCCAATTATAATAATTTTATATTATACAAAATCAAAATCTATGAAATTTAATTTTACTTTAAAAAAATTTCAATACCCCACATGGGTCTCAAAATGCAAGTGGAATTTGTTTGTTACTAGGTTTAACTATATTCCTCTTGTCATGCTAAGATTCATATTTGTAACCGCTGCTGTTTTAAATCTTTTAAAATATTTAAAATCAACACACAATAAATTTCCATCAAATCCTACCCCAACTCAAAAATCTTCTTATAAAATTCCATCCAACCCTAACGCAACTCACAACCCATTAATTAAATTGAACATACTCCATTTTTCGTCATTATCTCTCATCAGGTATGTATCATTAACGTATCTAATCTCTTTTTCATTATTACTACTTATTACTATTGGATTTCTTAACATGTGTATTCAGTTCTCACTTTCTATAATTCTTATTTTCTGTAATTCACGTTTGAAGAAAGTAGTGAAAATAGAAGAATAAGATTAGAATTTGTATTGTGTTTATTTTAGTAATATGGATTGCAGAATTCTAATCATTGAGTTTTATCATAGAATCTCAAATGGAAGAGAGCAAGATGTTGGTGAAGTCTGACCTTGAATCTTTTGATATTCATTCGTCTCATTCATCTCCTAGCGCTGATAGTACTAATAAAAGCTTTGTGTCTTTTAAGAAGGAGGGTTGTAAATCACCTTTATCATCGTGGGGTTCCAGACGTGAAAGTGAAAAATGTTTCAGCCTCTCAGGAGAATTGGACTATCTTGGTATGATACAAAATCGGTCTTTCGATGATGGTTTATTGTGGGAGATGGATAAAACAAGTTATGATGAGAAAGTTATGAACTTACATGTCACGCATTTGGAAGAAGAGATCATCAAATTGAAGGATCAAGTTGAGAATAGTGAAAACCAGGTTGATGATTTGTGGGGAGAATTAAAGTGGAAGGAGGAAGAGTTGCATAATCTGAAAGAGTTTTCTGAAATAGAGATTTACAAATTGAAGGCTCAAATTGAGGAAAGTGAGGCCAAAAAACATGATCAAGAAATTTCAAAATTGGTGAAACAGCTAGAGATAGCTAATGAAAAGCTCAAGAAATCAGAAGATGAAAATACAATTTTAAGGAAGGAACTTGAGAATAAGTCATGTGAGAATCATGAATTGCATGGTCAGCTTATAGAGGCAAAAGAAAATATGGCTGAATCAGATTTGGAGTTAGTTTCAGGGAGAAAGGATATTCAAATACTAGAAAACTTGGTTATAATATATGAGCAAGAGGTGCAAAAATTGGAATCTAAAATGCTTGATTCACAGGATAACTTTTCTTTGGAGAAAGATGAGTTGCATTTTGCTATTGCAAGTTTGTTGAAAACGAAAATAGAACTGACCTCTACATTGGCCAATTGTGTGTTTAGAAACAAAGAATTGGAAAACAAGTTAAGGCAATATGAAGCTGAAAAGTTGAAGCAAGAAGAGCTACATGCTACTCAACAAGTAGTTTTGCAAGATGAAAACAATTATTTGTGGGAAGAACTTGGCAAGAGAACAGAAGATATAGAAGCTGTGACTAAGGAGCTGTATATGGTAATGATTGAAAGAGATGAAGCCAATGTCAAGATTGATAGGCTTGAGGCTGAGATATGCACCCTCATATGTGAAATATGAAAAACCAATTACTACCTAAAACCTAGAAAATAAAAATAAGACACAACCACCTGCACATTTTTACCATCTTTAAACCCCAAACCAAAATTGTCCTTCTTAATTGGAAGCTCTAACACTCTAACCCCTAGTTTAACAACTTTGACAACTTCAAATGCCTAAAATGGAGTCTCGTGCACTTCACCTTCAATTTCCACATAACGAAATGAACTCAAATGGCTCTCGACATAATCCTCCTCACCACAGATGGTAACAACCTTTCCATTAATCACAATTTTAAGCCTCTGGTGCAACGTGGAAGTCACGACACCTGCCCCATGAATTCAGGGGCGTCCCAACAGACAAAAATAAGCGGGAAGTATGTCCATGACAAATAATGTTATATTGAAATCTTTAGGTCTTATCTTCATAGGTAGGTCAACCTTACCAAACACTAATCTCTTATATCCATCAAAAGCCCTCACTACCAAATCACTTGGTCTTAACACAACCCTTTCATAATCCAACTTCATCAGAGCATAATAGGGTAACACATTTGGAGACAATCCCATGTCAACCACCAAACGAGATAAAGTTGTTCCTGCAATCTCCATGGGGATGTGTAAAGCTTTGTTATGTTTTCTCCCCTCGAGAGACAAGTCAAATCCAGTGAAACCCAGGTTGTTACTAGTAGTAATGCTAGCAACAACATTCTCAAATTGGTTTATAGAGATATATTGAGAGACAATAGATGTTCTCAACAACTTCATTAATGCATTACTGTGCACCTCAAAGTCTTTTGAGCAAGGATAAAATAGAAAACTATATAATTTAATACTACTTAAAAGTCTCAATTATAATGTTTATCAAACAAAATTAAAATCTATATAATCTAATATTACTTAAAAGTCCCAATTATAATAATTTTATATTATACAAAATCAAAATCTATGAAATTTAATTTTACTTTAAAAAAATTTCAATACCCCACGTGGGTCTCAAAATGCAAGTGGAATTTGTTTGTTACTAGGTTTAACTATATTCCTCTTGTCATGCTAAGATTCATATTTGTAACCGCTGTTGTTTTCAATCTTTTAAAATATTTAAAATCAATGCACAATAAATTTCCATCAAATCCTAACCCAACTCAAAAATCTTCTTATAAAAGTCCATCCAACCCTAACGCAACTCACAACCCATTAATTAAATTGAACATACTCCATTTTTCGTCATTATCTCTCATCAGGTATGTATCATTAATGTATCTAATCTCTTTTTCATTATTACTACTTATTACTATTGGATTTCTTAACATGTGTATTCAGTTCTCACTTTCTATAATTCTTATTTTCTGTAATTCACGTTTGAAGAAAGTAGTGAAAATAGAAGAATAAGATTAGAATTTGTATTGTGTTTATTTTAGTAATATGGATTGCAGAATTCTAATCATTGAGTTTTATCATAGAATCTCAAATGGAAGAGAGCAAGATGTTGGTGAAGTCTGACCTTGAATCTTTTGATATTCATTCGTCTCATTCATCTCCTAGCGCTGATAGTACTAATAAAAGCTTTGTGTCTTTTAAGAAGGAGGGTTGCAAATCACCTTTATCATCGTGGGGTTCCAGACGTGAAAGTGGAAAATGTTTCAGCCTCTCGGGAGAATTGGACTATCTTGGTATGATACAAAACCGGTCTTTCGATGATGGTTTATTGTGAGAAATGGATAAAACAAGTTATGATGAGAAAGTTATGAACTTACATGTCACGCATTTGGAAGAAGAGATTATCAAATTGAAGGATCAAGTTGAGAATAGTGAAAACCAGGTTGATGATTTGTGGGGAGAATTGAAGTGGAAGGAGGAAGAGTTGCATAATCTGAAAGAGTTTTCTGAAATAGAGATTTACAAATTGAAGGCTCAAATTGAGGAAAGTGAGGCCAAAAAACATGATCACGAAATTTCAAAATTGGTGAAACAGCTAGAGATAGCTAATGAAAAGCTCAAGAAATCAGAAGATGAAAATACAATTTTAAGGAAGGAACTTGAGAATAAGTCATGTGAGAATCATGAATTGCATGGTCATCTTATAGAGGCAAAAGAAAATATGGTTGAATCAGATTTGGAGTTAGTTTCAGGGAGAAAGCATATTCAAATACTAGAAAACTTGGTTATAATATATGAGCAAGAGGTGCAAAAATTGGAATCTAAAATGCTTGATTCACAGGATAACTTTTCTTTGGAGAAAGATGAGTTGCATTTTGCTATTGCAAGTTTGTTGAAAAAGAAAATAGAACTGACCTCTACATTGGCCAATTGTGTGTTTAGAAACAAAGAATTGGAAAACAAGTTAAGGCAATATGAAGCTGAAAAGTTGAAGCAAGAAGAGCTACATGCTACTCAACAAGTAGTTTTGCAAAATGAAAACAATTATTTGTGGGAAGAACTTGGCAAGAGAACAGAAGATATAGAAGCTGTGACTAAGGAGCTGTATATGGTAATGATTGAAAGAGATGAAGCCAATGTCAAGATTGATAGGCTTGAGGCTGAGATATGCACCCTCATATGTGAAATATGAAAAACTAATTACTACCTAAAACCTAGAAAATAAAAACAAGACACAACCACCTGCACATTTTTACCATCTTTAAACCCCAAACCAAAATTGTCCTTCTTAATTGGAAGCTCTAACACTCTAACCCCTAGTTTAACAACTTTGACAACTTCAAATGCCTAAAATGGAGTCTCGTGCACTTCACCTTCAATTTCCAAATAACGAAATGAACTCAAATGGCTCTCAACATAATCCTCCTCACCACAGATGGTAACAACCTTTCCATTAATCACAAATTTAAGCCTCTGGTGCAACGTGGAAGTCACGACACCTGCCCCATGAATTCAGGGGCGTCCCAACAGACAAAAATAAGCGGGAAGTATGTCCATCACAAATAATGTTATATTGAAATCTTTAGGTCCTATCTTCATAGGTAGGTCAACCTTACCAAACACTAATCTCTTATATACATCAAAAGCCCTCACTACCAAATCACTTGGTCTTAACACAACCCTTTCATAATCCAACTTCATCAGAGCATAATAGGGTAACACATTTGGAGACAATCCCATGTCAACCACCAAACTAGATAAAGTTGTTCCTTTAATCTCCATGGGGATGTGTAAAGCTTTGTTATGTTTTCTCCCCTCGGGAGACAAGTCAAATCCAGTGAAACCCAGGTTGTTACTAGTAGTAATGCTAGCAACAACATTCTCAAATTGGTTTATAGAGATATATTGAGAGACAATAGATGTTCTCAACAACTTCATTAATGCATTACTGTGCGCCTCAAAGTCTTTTGAGCAAGGATAAAATAGAAAACTATATAATTTAATACTACTTAAAAGTCTCAATTATAATGTTTATCAAACAAAATTAAAACCTATATAATCTAATATTACTTAAAAGTCCCAATTATAATAATTTTATATTATACAAAATCAAAATCTATGAAATTTAATTTTACTTTAAAAAAATTTCAATACCCCACGTGGGTCTCAAAATGCAAGTGGAATTTGTTTGTTACTAGGTTTAACTATATTCCTCTTGTCATGCTAAGATTCATATTTGTAACCACTGCTGTTTTCAATCTTTTAAAATATTTAAAATCAACGCACAATAAATTTCCATCAAATCCTAACCCAACTCAAAAATCTTCTTATAAAATTCCATCCAACCCTAACGCAACTCACAACCCATTAATTAAATTGAACATACTCCATTTTTTGTCATTATCTCTCATCAGGTATGTATCATTAACGTATCTAATCTCTTTTTCATTATTACTACTTATTACTATTGGATTTCTTAACATGTGTATTCAGTTCTCACTTTCTATAATTCTTATTTTCTGTAATTCACGTTTGAAGAAAGTAGTGAAAATAGAAGAATAAGATTAGAATTTGTATTGTGTTTATTTTAGTAATATGGATTGCAGAATTCTAATCATTGAGTTTTATCATAGAATCTCAAATGGAAGAGAGCAAGATGTTGGTGAAGTCTGACCTTGAATCTTTTGATATTCATTCGTCTCATTCATCTCCTAACGCTGATAGTACTAATAAAAGCTTTGTGTATTTTAATAAGGAGGGTTGCAAATCACCTTTATCATCGTGGGGTTCCATACGTGAAAGTGAAAAATGTTTCAGCCTCTCAGGAGAATTGGACTATCTTGGTATGATACAAAACCGGTCTTTCGATGATGGTTTATTGTGGGAGATGGATAAAACAAGTTATGATGAGAAAGTTATGAACTTACATGTCACGCATTTGGAAGAAGAGATTATCAAATTGAAGGATCAAGTTGAGAATAGTGAAAACCAGGTTGATGATTTGTGGGGAGAATTGAAGTGGAAGGAGGAAGAGTTGCATAATCTGAAAGAGTTTTCTGAAATAGAGATTTACAAATTGAAGGCTCAAATTGAGGAAAGTGAGGCCAAAAAACATGATCACGAAATTTCAAAATTGGTGAAACAACTAGAGATAGCTAATGAAAAGCTCAAGGAATCAGAAGATGAAAATACAATTTTAAGGAAGGAACTTGAGAATAAGTCATGTGAGAATCATGAATTGCATGGTCAGCTTATAGAGGCAAAAGAAATTATGGCTGAATCAGATTTGGAGTTAGTTTCAGGGAGAAAGCATATTCAAATACTAGAAAACTTGGTTATAATATATGAGCAAGAGGTGCAAAAATTGGAATCTAAAATGCTTGATTCACAGGATAACTTTTCTTTGGAGAAAGATGAGTTGCATTTTGCTATTGCAAGTTTGTTGAAAACGAAAATAGAACTGACCTCTACATTGGCCAATTGTGTGGTTAGAAACAAAGAATTGGAAAACAAGTTAAGGAAATATGAAGCTGAAAAGTTGAAGCAAGAAGAGCTACATGTTACTCAACAAGTAGTTTTGCAAGATGAAAACAATTATTTGTGGGAAGAACTTGGCAAGAGAACATAAGATATAGAAGCTGTGACTAAGGAGCTGTATATGGTAATGATTGAAAGAGATGAAGCCAATGTCAAGATTGATAGGCTTGAGGCTGAGATATGCACCCTCATATGTGAAATATGAAAAACCAATTACTACCTAAAACCTAGAAAATAAAAACAAGACACAACCACCTGCACATTTTTACCATCTTTAAACCCCAAACCAAAATTGTCCTTCTTAATTGGAAGCTCTAACACTCTAACCCCTAGTTTAACAACTTTGAAAACTTCAAATGCCTAAAATGGAGTCTCGTGCACTTCACCTTCAATTTCCACATAACGAAATGAACTCAAATGGCTCTCGACATAATCCTCCTCACCACAGATGGTAACAACCTTTCCATTAATCACAAATTTAAGCCTCTGCTGCAACGTGGAAGTCACGACACCTGCCCCATGAATTCAGGGGCGTCCCAACAGACAAAAATAAGCGGGAAGTATGTCCATCACAAATAATGTTATATTGAAATCTTTAGGTCCTATCTTCATAGGTAGGTCAACCTTACCAAACACTAATCTCTTATATCCATCAAAAGCCCTCACTACCAAATCACTTGGTCTTAACACAACCCTTTCATAATCCAACTTCATCAGAGCATAATAGGGTAACACATTTGGAGACAATCTCATGTCAACCACCAAACGAGATAAAGTTGTTCCTGCAATCTCCATGGGGATATGTAAAGCTTTGTTATGTTTTCTCCCCTCGGGAGACAAGTCAAATCCAGTGAAACCAAGGTTGTTACTAGTAGTAATGCTAGCAACAACATTCTCAAATTGGTTTATAGAGATATATTGAGAGACAATAGATGTTCTCAACAACTTCATTAATGCATTACTGTGCGCCTCAAAGTCTTTTGAGCAAGGATAAAATAGAAAACTATATAATTTAATACTACTTAAAAGTCTCAATTATAATGTTTATCAAACAAAATTAAAATCTGTATAATCTAATATTACTTAAAAGTCCCAATTATAATAATTTTATATTATACAAAATCAAAATCTATGAAATTTAATTTTACTTTAAAAAAATTTCAATACCCCACGTGGGTCTCAAAATGCAAGTGGAATTTGTTTGTTACTAGGTTTAACTATATTCCTCTTGTCATGCTAAGATTCATATTTGTAACCGCTGTTGTTTTCAATCTTTTAAAATATTTAAAATCAACGCACAATAAATTTCCATCAAATCCTAACCCAACTCAAAAATCTTCTTATAAAATTCCATCCAACCCTAACGCAACTCACAAACCATTAATTAAATTGAACATACTCCATTTTTCGTCATTATCTCTCATCATATATGTATCATTAACGTATCTAATCTCTTTTTCATTATTACTACTTATTACTATTGGATTTCTTAACATGTGTATTCAGTTCTCACTTTCTATAATTCTTATTTTCTGTAATTCACGTTTGAAGAAAGTAGTGAAAATAGAAGAATAAGATTAGAATTTGTATTGTGTTTATTTTAGTAATATGGATTGCAGAATTCTAATCATTGAGTTTTATCATAGAATCTCAAATGGAAGAGAGCAAGACGTTGGTGAAGTCTGACCTTGAATCTTTTGATATTCATAGATAGAATAAAATTTTCCCTCTAGGTTGAAAACCCGTATGGGAAACCTAGGAAAAAGTTAGGGATTTCTTGGCAAGTAACTGTGTCGAACAAGACTTTATCATTGAAGCAACAATATTCTTAGATTATCACCATACTTCAACAGATGTCGCTGCTCAGGAATTCAAAGTTGTTATGGAGAATAGTGGTTATTGTATTTCAATGTATCTTTTCCAATATAATACCATTTTCCAAACTTTGTAATCATCTATGGAGTCTCGTCGTTCGCAGACTACCATTCTATTAATAAAGTTTGATCTTTTATCCAATTATTTGCAATTGTTATCTTATTCCTCTCACAAAGACTCCATTTATTATTGATAGTAATTTTCAAAACAAAAATATTAAATAACAAAATTGTTTTTTGGACAGAATTTACAAATTACTTTTTACTTTAGATTTTGTGACCCAAGAGAAACAAAGATGGTGATTCGAAGGGTGGACAAATGCTGAAATTTTGGAATTATGTATTCCCCAGGAAGGTTCTCCTAGGTCACTTTTCTGGTATGCGTATGATCTTCTTGTGTTTCTCAGATAGTTAGAGATGATACGAATTGATGTATGGTGCAGTGTTGGGTTTGGGATCCCATTTTCCCCAGTCAAGTTTTGGTTTAGTTTTTCTCTCCAAGTTGATAAGTTTTTATTTCGGGTTTGCACAGTTTGAGACCTCTATCCCAGATTCCCCAGTAAGGTCTTTGCTCATAAGATAAAAGTACATTCTCCCTTTACGTGATGAAGAATAATCATTTGCAAAACATCTCCCTTTTGCAGTGTTGGCATTATTGTCGTTGTTTATTTCCCATGCAACTTGACAAGGGCGTTATCTTTTCTAAGAAGTGTTGAAACAATTGTCAACTTTTCGGGTTTTCTCCCGCCAAGTGCTAGGTTTGATTTAAAATCCCCATAAT